ATACTTTAAAGACAAGTTTTATTTCTGGTGTATATATGTGGTCTAGGAGCGGATGTTGCCGATATGATTGATTGACGGTTGGGCAGTAGTAACTCTGTGGCCCCATGCATAGCATTGTTTTGGCTACAGAGCTTTGTTCTGGTTGTTCAAAGCAAAACATGTCAGATTCTTGTTAACGACCAGGGGGAGAAGACCTTGCTTGTGCCTTGAAACGTAGGGGCAGCAGAGGAGAGGCCTGAGAACGTCATATAAAATCCACATGTTGCTTCCATTAGGACTCCAACCTGATTATGGACTGAACTAAGGGAGCGGCAGAACTAACAGAATTGCAGAGGCCCTGATCAAAGCCCTGATCACATCATGCCTAAAACCCACCCCACCTGTCCATTTTTGTGTTATGTGAACCAGTAAATTTCCCTTACTTTTGAAGTCAGTTGAATTAGGTTTTTGTTATATGTAGATGAAGATATCCTAACTAATGAAATAGTGTTGTTTTGCCTCTAAGAAGAATTGCACAGAAGAAATTTAAGGACTAATTTCTGGAATTGTTATATTTTGGGTACATCAAAAAAATCATTGTACAATCTAATTATGATCTTTAATAACATGGAACAGGAAGCTGGGAAGAACAATTATACTGGATGACTGAATCAAGATCTAAAAACATCTGATAGGCAGGAACCCATTGCCAAGTACAACATTGTGGAATTTAATAAGAATGAGTAAAGATCCAACACGGATGGGGAACATCTGCCTTCGCTGCACAAGAGATAAGAATTGACCGATACTGCAATGGGACCACCAAAACTGCTAATGGGATTTTAGGCTGCATTATTTCAAATATCTCCTTTTTTTCCCCCTTATGCCTTATCATTAGCTCAGCTGGGTTCCAGACATTTAAAAAGATAGAGACAGACTGACACTCAAGCACAGTAAGACACTCAAGAACAGGCTGGCAGAGATTTGTAATCAGATCCTATAGGGGACAGCTGAAGGGCTGGAGGAGTCTGTTAACAGTGATGACAATAATGAGAATAGTAAACATTTACTGGGTACTTTCCATGTGCTAAGGAATTGCATATTATATCATTGAATCCTCATAAGGAGTTTGAGTTGGAGGGGACTGTTATTTACTACCCCTTCATACACAGATGAGGAAACCAAGCTTAGCTCAAAATCTTACCCAAGGTCACTGAGCTATACATGGTGGAACCATGGGGTGTAAACCACAGGAAGTGGCTTTAAATGTTGAGTGCAACATTCTAAATATTTGAAGGATTGTCAGGAGAAAGTAGGGGGAAGATTTGTTTCCCATTAGTAGTACCAAGAGGGAGATAGATTTCTGTGGGGGGACTTAAGGCCATCTGTCTTTCTTCAGGGAAGGAGAGTTTTCTTTTCTTGATGCCTCTCTTCCTTACTCACTCACTGCAGGTCTGCAGCCGTGGTGCTCCATGGAAACCTTGGAAGGCTTACCGTGGCCAGACTGGACCTTGTCTCCTAGTTCTAAGATTCTGTGACCTGTCAATTATTTCTCTTTCTCACAGGCTTAGACCACATGAGGACATGTGGTCTAGGGCCCCATGCTTGCTAAGCAAGCTCTTTACCACTGAGCCACATCCCCAGCTGTTTTTATTTTATTTTCAGACAGGATCCTTCCAAATTGCCAACTTGTGATCCTCTTGCCTTAACCTCCTGAGTAGTTGGGATTACAAGTGGGTGCCACCACACCCAGCCATTTCCCTCCTTCTGGACTTTTCCCCCCGTTTCTGTCCTTTATTCATGAGTGTCTAATGAGGTCTTGTCCCCAGTCTCTGGTCTTTAAACCACTCTTGTGATGACTCTGGTCCCTTTATGCCATTTTGAACTTTATTGAAGCCCTCCTTCTAATTTCCACATTCCCTTTGCAGATGTTCCATGTATCATTAGAAACTCAACAAGGTAAAACCCAGACTTGCCTGATCCCCAAACCATTCTACTCCCTAATCTCCTTTTCTGTTGACGGTAGCCCTGCCATCCTGTTCTGCTAGATCTCTATTCTATTCTTCCAGTGCCTGAAATCGTCACATCTATCAACTCTTCATTTATGGGATCTCTTAGCTATGTTCCTTCTTTTTCAGGCCCACTGTCAAAAGAATAGACCTTGTTGCCTCTCTCCAAGCCTCTCAGTACTCTTGTCATGCTTAACCAAGGTCCCATCGCTTCCTTGTCTATAGAGAGGGATGAAGTTCTCTCCCAGCTCCCAAAGCTTTTGAACTAAGCCACCAGAGTTCTTTCTTATTTTAACAGTGTTTCTTATTTTAACAGTTCTATATTGCCCATTAAATTAGGTCCATTACCCAAGACAAAGTTTCAGGAAGCTGTTTTCAATTCGTCCAGCAGATGGAAAATTGGAAACCTCTGTAGCCACCATGCTGTCTCTGTGTAGTTGTCCCCTACCCTGAGTATGGGTTCCCCTGCCCCTCTTCATATTTACTCATGCTTTTCTCCTGTTTTGAGAGTAGTGTTGTCATTTGCTAGTTTGATTTTTTTTTTTTTTTTTTTTTGGTGCTGGGGATTGAACCCAGGGCCTTGTGCATTCGAGGCAGATACTCTATCAACTGAGCTATATCCCTAGCCCCTGATTTTTTTTTTTCACCACTGGGAATTTAATCCAGGACCTCATGCATACTAGGCAAGTGGTCTACCACAAAGCTATATTTCAAGCCCTTTATATGTTATTCTGAGACAGGATTTTGCTAAATTGCCCAGACTGGCCTCAAATTTTGAATCTTCCTGCCTCAGCCTCCTAAATGGGTGGGATTACAAGTATATATTGTACCCGGCCAGTTTTAATTCTTTTAAGGTCCACCTTATATTCTACTTCTCCCAATTACTAATCATTTTTCTCTCAGCATACCTCTGTGTTAAAATGTATTCCTTAGTTTCTCAAAGTAGATTTTAAACTTCCTCAGGGAAATGTCTTGTGTGTTTTTATCCAGCACTGGACTATTCAGACAGGTTATTAACTCTGAGGGAAAAAGAAAAATAATATCAACAATTTATTAAGTTCTTCCAGCATGCTAGTCACTGTACCACATGGAGACATTGCCCTTGTTTTCAGATGAAAAAAACTTTCTCTACATTTCCCTAGGTCACAATGCTGATAAAGTTGGACCTACCTGTAATCCCAGCAATTTGAGAGGCTGAAGCAGGAGGATTGCAAATCTGAGACTAGCCTCAGCAATTTAGCGAGGCCCTAAGCAATTTAGAGAGATCCTGTCTCAAAATAAAAAATAAAAAGGGTTGGGGATGTGGCTAAGTGGTAAAGTGCCCCTGGGTTCAATCCCCAGTTTTTTAAAAAAAAATTAGACCAAGGATATAAAACCAGACAGAATACTCTACCATGGTAATCAGACAGTTCATCCCAATTCTGTGTTCTTCTTGAGAACTGATAGGACACCGTGCTGCCAAGTTCTCGTACATAATAAGGACCCTTCTTTATTTTGCCTTTTCTAGAAATGAGGATACACAGATGTGATACTTAATGGAAGCACCTTCCCACTGGCCATGACCTCAGGGAGAGTGGACCGGTGACTTTGAAAGTCCATTAGTAGAAAATGATCTTGGTTGACTTCAAAAATTGTTTAAGGCAGGCATACATTTTATAAAGAAGAAGGAGGCAGCCTTGCCTTTATTCTCCAACTTTCTTATTATTTCTAGGAGTGATAAACAGGGATGCTTTCTTGACATTACAACTGTTGAACTCTCATTTATTTTACCTTTTCATTGGATTGCATTCCTTTATTTCTGCCTTCTTTGAAAGTACTCCATTCATTCCCCATGTTATTTGATTGGCTAGGACCATCTTGCTACCAGATCTGTTTTTATGGTGTACAAAAATAACTATTGCAGTGTATGGATTAATTAGGGTTTTTTTAAAATTAGCTTGATTTTTTTCCATTTTATGATAAAAGAAAGTGTTATATAATTTTAAAAGGACATGTTTAAGGAAAAAATGATATTTGGAGAACAATCTTCAGGACAGTAATAAAGGTTAAGGGCCACGACATGTCTTGAGTGTTCCCTGGGATCTCACTACACAGGAAGCAGGAGCATCAGACACACACACACAGGTGTTCACAGGTGACCATGGCCATATGTAGATGCATTTTTTTGGAGAAAATATCATACTGAGTCAACCAAAAGAAATTTTGTTATAGAATCTGAACTTGGTCTATGGGTGTGTTTTACCTTGGACTTTTATACAGATATTAAAAAGTACATTTAGCTATCAGCTGTCAAGGGAAGTTGTATCTTTCAGAGACAGTACATACATTAAATATAACTTTTAAAAACCTGAGCTTATTGTCCCATTGACCAGCCACCACTCATATTTGAAACCTCAAATATCTGTCATCTGGGGACTGCCTGGATATACCTTCAGTTTTTTAACATTTAAAATATTTCTAAGAAAACATTTTTAGGCAACATTAATTATTTTTAAAAAAGGAAACAGGACATACTGTGATGTAGTGGAAAGAAGAGTGAATTGGAAATTATGAGACCCACATTCCAGAACTGACCCTGCTCTGTGACCTTGGGCATTGGGCTGGTTTGAGACACAGTTTCCTTGTCTATAGAGAGGGACAAGTTCTCTCCTGGCTCCCAAAGCCTAGCTAGGCTTTTGAACCAAGCCACAGGGAGTTCTTTCTTATTGTAACAGTGACCTCTTGTGGTCCATATCCTTAATCAATTCTTTTTCATTTGCAAAGTAAACTCTGGATTTATTTTTTGGTTCTTTCTAGTAACTGAATTTCATAGTGTTAAGCAAATTGACTTGTTTTTCCAAGGTAAATCTTAGTTGGGAATCAAAGGTCAAAGTTAACAGGTCATGAAGCATGAAGACCTATCTTATAAACAAATCTCTGTGGTTTCTTTAGAAACTGTGCAAAGCCAGTTTACAAAAATAGAAATGCCTTGCTATTTGAGCTGAGTGTTTTGTGTGCTCTGCTTCCTCCTAGGGACCAGGGGAAGAGGCGCGCCAGGGCTTCCTCTTGCCCCAGCAGCTCCGACCTGAGCAGGCTGGAAACCAAAGCAGGTGAGGTACTTCTGTGGCTAGGGGTCATCGGCACCCTGCATTCTGCGGCATCTCCATTGGAAGGGAAAATGTGGGCACTGAAGATGTCTGAGATGGTCCACTGGATGAGGCTTGGTCACAGAGCAACATTTATAAGGCTTCATTGTTTTCATGACAGCCTTACCATTTCATGGTCCTAAGAATTTTATAAAAATGTAAATAGCTAACATATTATTGGCTTCATTTGTCCTGAGAATCAAGTTGATAATCATGGTTTCTGATAACATGATTGTAAAACTTTAAACCCAACATAGTTCTTGGGTTTAAAACTTGAATTTGAAATCACTGCTCATTTAAAGGAAATATTAGCTGTGCTAAGACAGTCCTTGAGGACTTTTAAACTATTTAATTGAGAAAATATATAACCATATAAGCTAAATAGTAAAAATACAAATGATACAAAATGTATTCAGGTAATGGAATATAACAGTTAGAAAAAAGTATGTTTATAGCATCAAGTGAAATGAATACAAACATAATATTAGATGAAAAATTAAAGTACAAAAACAAGGGCATACATTGTGGGTTGCAGATCTGTGTGGTAGACCTGACAAGCCTATCATGATAACGTAGCCACCAATTTAGAACGGTGGGGGGGGCCCCAGAGGGGAGGGGGGGCGTGGTCTAGGGGAGGCATACAGAGGGATTCAACTATGCTCAAAATGTGTCACTTCTTTAATAAGAGGAAAGAAGAAAATTTGCCACAATGCTAATATACAACCAAACAAGTTGTGTGTACTCGGGTATTTAAAAAAAATATTTATTTTTTAGTTTTAAGTGAACACAGTATCTTTATTTTACATTTATATGGTGCTGAGGATCGAACTCAGTGCCTCAAGTATGCCAGGCAAGCACTCTACCACTGAGCCACAACCCCAACCCTCAGATATTTTAAAATATTTTTTTGTATACATGAATATGACATAAAACTAATATAGGGTTAAAAATTATCTTCAAAACCAATTTATCAATACAGTGACTTTTGTGGCCATTGGGAATTTATTTCTCTAGTACTCAGGAAGATCTTAAATCATCTGATTGCTGAGACAACATTGTTGCTAAGGATTTTACATTTACATGCTAAAAAAATCAGCCAATCCTAGCTTTGTGTCAGGTTATTGTGCCCAGAGCTCAAAGTGGTGGTTAACAACTCTAACCACTGAGACAGCAAAATCTTTGAACACATGCTGCAATTTTTGCTTGACTTACCCAATTTCCTGTTGAATCATAATTTTTATATTTAGCAAACTGTGAACCTAGATAAAAGTACATTCTAAAATATGAAGTTGTTCCCCAAGACTGAGACAAACTTTATGTGTGTGTGTTTCTGTATATGTGTGTCTTAGAAAGCAATCATGATTATGCCTTAATCATGATTAAACTAATCATGCCTTAGTTTCTAGAGTGGCTCGGGGATAGTGTGTGGAGTGGAGGTGCATGGGATGAAGAGGTGAAAGGACCCCAGCCAGACACAGCTATACACAAGGGATTCTTAGGAAAGGGGAAAAGGAATCTTTATACCACAGTATCTGCTAAAATGTTACCAGGTTCATCTGTTCTGAGAATCAAGTTGATGATCATGGTTTCTGATGGCACTGTTGTACTAAGAAACTTATTGCAGTGGCACATGCCAGTAATCCTAGTGACTTGGGAGGCTGAAGTAGGAGGATCACAAATTCGAGGCCAGACCAGGAACTTCATTGAAAAAAGCTAGGGATGTAGTTCAAAAAGCTGGTAAAGCACCTGTGGGTTCAGTCCCCAATACCACAAAAACAAACAAAACAACAAAAATAAAAGGCATACTGTATAGCAGGTAAAAATGGGGATTTGAATTTATTTGGCTTTAAGACTATATATTTCTAGTAAACTTAAGTATGTCATGAATTTGTATTAAATTAATTATTATTGATTTGTCTTCTGCCTTTTCTCTTGCCTTGATAAATGTTGGTTTTATTGATGTACTTTGGATTTCAAATAAGTTAGTTACCTGAGACTATGAGTGACTGTATTTTTTATACTCTTTGAATATTCATATTTACTTTAAGAATCCATATGCAGAACTTATTAAAGTTAAGACAGACTCATAGAAATAATGATCCAAAAGATTGGTCTATTATACTTTATCTGAAGCTGGAAGGCCTTCCAGGTAGCTGGGATCACAGGCCTGTGCTACCATGCCCAGTTAATTTCCCCCTCTCTCTTCTCTTCTTTTCTTCCCTTCCCTTTTCTTCCTTCCTTCCTTTTCTCTCCTTCCTTTCTGCTCTCCCTCCTTTCCTTTTCTTTTTTCTTTTTAGTACTGAACATTGAACCCATTGACCCTCTACCAATAAACTACATCTCCAGCCATTTTTATTTATTTATTTTTTTTAAGACTTGAGTTTCACGGGCTGGGGTTGTGGCTCAGTGGTAGCACGCTCACCTAGCATATGTGAGGCACTGGGTTCGATCCTCAGCAGCACATAAAAATTAAAAGGTATTGTGTCCACCTATAACTAAAATAAATAAATAAATATTTTAAAAGACTGATTTTCACTAAATTGACGAGGCTGGCCTTGAACTTGTGATCCTCCTGCCTCAGTCTCCCACATTTCTGGGATTACAGGCATGTGCCGCCGTACACAGCTAGTACTGCCTTTCTAAAATCCAAACACTTCTGATTCTCAAACCACACCTGGTCCCAAAGGTCTTGGATAAAGGACTCTGAACCTGTACTGATGTGGACTGATTTTTGTCCTAAAGACAATTCAACTTTGTATTTTATGGTGAAGTCTTGCTTATGATTTAGATAGACCATTCACAGGACCTTAACTGTGTAATTACAGCTTTGTTGAGAGGCCCTTTCTATTTACTTTTGCTCCCAGTGCTCCTCAGGGCCCAGTGTGTGTGGGCCTCTCTTGGTACTGGGAAGGTCTATAAAAAGCAAGTTGGACTTGTAACTGGGAATGGTTACTTCTGTCACACAGTGCAGGAGGGGAGTGTACAGCTTCTCTGCTTCTCCTATCAGTGTTATATGCTTGGAAAATTTTTCATTTGATGGTTTGATTCATTTTAGACATCTCTGAATTCAAATAACTTTTTAAATACATGCCATCATGGGTTATCCATGCATTTTTCTACTGTTTATATATAGATAATTGAGAAAGGACTTTATTTTTGGATGTCTTATTTCAGAAAATTTCATTTTAACTCTTAAGAAAATCACAATACATGTATATGTCATTTACTATGACATATACATGTATATTTACTATGTGTTGTTTATTTGTCTCTCTCTAAGAGTGATACAAGGGCAGTAGAGGTTTTAGAAAATACAGAAGAGCACATATAAAGAAATTAATAATCCATAGTCCCAATGCTTAGAGGTGACCATCATTACCCCATCTTAAAGAGGAAAGGTGAAGCAACTTGCCTAAAGTCAACCAGCGAGTAGGTGGGAGAGCTAGGATTCCAACCCAGACACTGGCTTTAAACCTGTGTTCTTACGTCTACATTGGTCCACTTTTCTTTTTTAAAAGTTAAAACAACCTGAAACCAGGAGTAGAGGTATAAACATGTAATCCCAGTGACTTGGAAGGCTGAGGCAGGAGGATTGCAAGTTCAAAGCCAGCTTCAGCAACTTTAGTGAGACCCTAAGCAACATAGCAAAATCCTGTCTCAAAATAAAAAAACAAAACAAAAAGGTCTGGGAAGGTGGCTCAGTGGTTAAGAGCCCTTGGGTTCAATCTCTAGTACAAACTAACCAACAAACAAAGTGTGTGTGTGTGTGTGTGTGTGTGTGTGTGTGTGTGTGAACCTCCTTATTGCTCCTCTGATTTCTAACATTCATGTGATATTTTTAGGGTTCAGGCATTCATTGTGTGGACTGGACACCTAATTGCTGCCAGGTCCACTCTGAGGGTGTTTGGGCTCCCTGACCCCAATATAAACTGGATGCCACATAATGGGCTTAGTGGGTAGCCTTCAGAGAAGAGGCTAAGTAATGTTCTCCAGCCCTGCTCAGGAAGGCCTCTGGGCAGCTGTGCCCCTTCCAGCTAGATAGTTAGTGTTTCAGATCTTGAGATAACGATGTGTGAAATATAATCATGACTTGCAGTTTTTAACATGGTTTACACCCCTCCCCCCGTGCCGTGTCACCTCCTTTAGTCTGTTGGGTTGCAGTCTAGTTTAATCTGCTATGGGGCAGAATATCTTAGAGATCAAGTGCAAGGACCTTTTGACCTTAGGCTGATAACGTACTACCCCTGGGTTCTACTTTCTTCATCTGCATGATGGAGAAAAATTGGGGCCTCTTCATGGTGTGGTTACAAAAATGAAACAGGCCAAGTGCACAGCCAAGGGTAGCATCATTCTCCAGAGCCTATATGCAAGTCAGCATCTGTTCTTGAGGACATACCTGTGACACATTCAGATAGCAATTCCTGTTTATTTAATCAAGGAAATTAAATTCTTAGATATTGAGTGTGGATACATGACATTGGGCCGAGAGCTTTACCTATCATCATGTCTTTTAGTTTTCATAACCCTGAACTTAAATATTCTAACCTCTGTTTTGCTGAAGAGGAAACTGGGGCTCAAACTAGACCCCATTCACCCTATGCATGAATGATGGAATTAGGGTAGGGGGAAGTCCATAATGCTGATGACCCCATACCATTTCTTAGAAGGTAACCAGCATACAATTTCTACAGAAAAGAAAGTCCTTCCAGATCTTCCTTTTAGAAATTTTTTCATTGAGCATTTTTGGAGACTTTATTCAGTTTTGTTGTTATTTTTCAATAGAGCTCTACCACTGAGCAACATCCCAGCTTTTTTTATTTTTTTTCTTTTTTAGAAACAAGGTCTCACTAAATTACCCAGGCTTGCCTCAAACTTGCGATCCTCCTGCCTTAGCCTCCTGAATTGCTGGAATTTTAGGCATGTGAAGAAATATGCTTGAAATTGTGTTCTTTACATATTTATCCTTGTCTATTCTGTATTGCAGAGGGGTATGTCTAAACAGCAACAACAACAAAAACTCAAAACAGTTTGCCTTACCAGTCACCATCATTCACAAAATTTAATGCTTTATGAATTATCCCAATCATATTTTAACATTCTTTTTTATATTATCTGAGTTTAATTTGAGGTGATTTGATTGAAGACTTTACAGTTCTAATTAGAATTAATTGGGTTGGGGGCAAAGTTAAAAAGCTAATTCTGTAGCTTTTTAACTGGAGTGATAAATAGGAAAGGCTTTTGACTGTGCTCCATTACAGCTCCTTTCTCACGCTCTGCATTTCTTTTGCAGTCTCAAAAGCCAACTTGCAAGAAAAGGATACCGAAATAGAAGTAGATGAAGTCTTTTGGAATACAAGGATCGTACCAATTTTGCATGAATTAGAAAAGGGTAAAAAAATTCTTGTTTTAAATAAAAATTATCTGTGGTTATGTGTATGTTCCCTGTTACCCTGATTTTTTAGTGTACTCTGACCATCTTCTGTGAACCTGTTCAAAAACAAATGAAGTTCCAGGTGCAGTAGCGCATGCCTGTAATCCCAGCAGCTGGGGTGGTTGAGGGAGAAGGATCCAAGTTCAAAGCCAGCCTCAGCGAAAGTGAGGCGCTAAGCAACTCAGTGAGACCCTGTCCCTAATAAAATACAAAATAGGGCTAGAGAAGTGGCTTAGTGGTTGAGTGCCCCTGAGTTCAATTCCTGGTACCTAAAACAAACAAACAACCCCCCTCCCCAAAAAGGAAGTCATCCTCAGTAATGTGGTTATTAAATACTACATGTAAACCAAATTGTTAGTGAGCAAATTATACTTTAAATGCACCAAGAGAATTGACTTCAAAATTCCTCTTATAATACAAATTTAGGATCACTTCTGCCCAAGGAAATGCTGGCTTAATCTCTCTAGGGACACTGTTCATATTCTAGAAAGTGAAAGATTAAAACAGATTTCAGGCCTCTGAAACTGATTTGAGTCTCAGACTGGCATCCTGCAAGTGGTGCCCGTGGTTTTCTTGGCTGTGCACACATCCTCTCTCCTGAGGTTAAGTACACACATCAGAGATGCCATTCATGGCACAGGAAGTAACCTGGGATGCCCCAGCCCTGGCATTCTGGAGTGAAGGCCTTCACTTGATGGGTCCCTGAAAAGGCGATGAGAAGCTTGTCTGGGTTTGGCTTCCCATTGCCTCCCTCTTGCAGCTCCTCAGGGATTCCATTTCTGATGGTGAACAAGATTCCTGTGGAGCTGTGGTCATAGTCTAGAGCCAGCCAAGCCCAGTGTTTGGCACCCAGTACTCCATAGGCTCCTAGTAGGAATTGTTGGCTGAAAGCTCCTTGGATGCCAGCATTGGCAGCCACAGGAAGATGCGCTAGAAGCAGGGTGTATGATCCCCCTGCAGACAGACAGGGAAGGCCTGCAAAGGCCTGCTGCCTACACATTCGAATGACTCTCCCCTCCCTGGCTCCCTTTGGGTGCTAGGCTGTGTTGATAGCAATAGGAGAGCCCTGCACAGGTTCCTGTCCTTGGTGTTGCCTCTAACTAGGTTACCACTGCAGGGACTCATCTCAACTCCAGATGCAGTAGTGTCTTCAAGTGCTCTGCAGCCCCAAGTCCTAAACTTATGAATGTGACAACTTTTTCTGTTCTAGACTTATTAACTTTCACCATCCTATTACTGCACATGTGAACTTTGGGCCCTTTTTGAGAGATTGCAAAACCTAGTGAGAAGATCAGTAGGTCTGGGTAAGGATTAAAAAAGAAACACTCATTTGGGGAAAGAGCACCACTAAGACCTGGCTTGGAGGAGGTTGTCAGCCTGCAGGATTTTAAAAGGATGCCAAGGGATCTGTTTACCACTGCCACCAACAGAGAGAATTTAGCATGCCAACTGAGGAGTTAGGACTTGGACATGTTGACAAGTCTCCCTTCTCAGATGGATCATTAAACACTGAAATATGTCATCTCTCTCCCTAGACAACTTTTTAAGTTCTTTTTAGATATATATGACAGTATATTTTGACATATTATATATACATGGAGTATAACTTATTCTAGTAGGATTCCATTCTTGCAGTTGTACGTGATGTGGAGTTTCATTGGTTGTGTATTCACATGTGAACATAGGAGAGTTCTGTCCAATTCATTCTACTGTCTTTCCTATTCCCATCCCTACCTCCCTTCCCTTCATCCCCTTTTGTCTAAACCAAAGTACTTCTATTCTTCCTGACCACCCCCATTGTGTGTTAGCATCCACATACCAGAGAAAACATTCAACCTTTGGTTTTGGGGGAGTGGCTTATTTCACTTAGCATTATAGTATCCAGTTCTATCCACTTACTGGCAAATTTAATTCTTATAATTTCATTCTTCTTTATAGCTGAGTTATATTCCATTGTGTATACATACCACATTTTCTTAATCCATTCATCTGTTGAAGGCACCTAAATTGGTTCCATAGCTTAGCTATTTTTAATTGAGCTGCTATAAACATTTATGTGACTGTGTCACTACAGTCTTCGGATATAAGTCCTTTGGGTATATACCAAGGAGTGGGATAACTACTTCAAATGGTGGTTCTATGCCAAGCTTTTTGAGGAATCTCCATATTGGTTTCCAGAGTGGTTGCACTAGTTTGCAGTCCCACCAGCAATGTGTGAGTGAACCTTTTCCCACACATCCAAGCCAATATTTTGTTAATAAACAAATTTATTGTTACTTGTATTTTTGATAATTAGACAATTCTTAATAACACCAAATGATGACCCCTTGGGTTTTTTAAAACTTTTTTTGGCATAATTTCAGTCTTAAAGAAAAATTGCAAGAGTAGTAGGGGGAAAAAATGGCCAAGTACGGTGGCACCCACTTGTAATCCCAGCTACCTGGGAGAATGAGGCAAGAGGGTCACAAGTTCAAGGTCAGCCTCATCAAATTCAGTGATACCCTGTCTCAAAATTAAAAAAAAAAATTTAAAAATGGATGGAGAAGTATTTCTGTGGTAAAGTACCTCTGGGTTTAATCCCCAGTACCAAAAAGAAAAAAATTCTATGTGTTCTTCACTTAGAGTCCCCCAATATTAATATTTTATCACATTTACTTTATCACTCTCTCCTTCCTTCCCTTTCTCTTTCTATACCCCTTCCACACACACATCAATTTTTTTCTTTTGAGAACAAGCTGTCAACCTGATGTCCTGTGTCCCTCAGTACTTTGACGTGTGTTTTTAGACATAAGGGTGTTCTCTTACATAACTGAAAATTACCATGTAATACTGTACAAATCTTACTAGATCTTGTCATTTGTCTTGCTAATTTCCTTTATAGAAGAAGAAAATCTTGGATCACAAGTTCCAATCATTTGTTGTGTCTCTTTCATCATCTTGACATACTTGAGGAATGGAGGCCATTTATTTTATAGACAGTCCCATGAATCGGGTTTGACTGGTGTTTTCTCACAGTGAGATCCAGGTTGGGCTTTGTTGGCAGGCTAATTGCACAGGAAGGTGCTGCATCCTTTTCAAGACTGATTTGCTCCTGTTCTGGAGATAAGAATTTTGATCACCTGAGTCAGGTGGGGACTGCCAGGTTGATCCTCAGTAACTTGCTCTTTTCCCCTTGGTAATTAATAAGTATCTTGTGGGGAGAAGTAACTCAGATCATTTTCCCCTCTATTGTGTGTCCAGCTCTCACCCTCTACCTTTAGCGCATTGAAAGTCTCAGCTCTCAGTTTCAAGTTGTCTTTGGCAGCTGCATGACATTTGTGACTATTATAACTAATTGGTAACAGAGTGGTTTAAATTTTGGCCCCCGGGCCTTCCTTTTAAATTTATTTTTAAATAAACTGAAACAAGTCATCTTGACTAGAACCCAGCAGACCGAAGCATTTAAGGGGAAGTGCTAGATAAATACATTGAGGACCCCTCATTGCCCCTAAGTGACCCAGCACTGGACTTGGGGCTTATGAAGAAACTGCCAGGCACCGAACAATAAAACAACTCGACAAAAGTATTCACACAATGGAGTTCAGATTTTCCCCTTTATTTAAAGTCTGTCTCAGTCATTTCCCATCAATTCATTTATTTAAGTGCATAACTGAAAGGCATTGAAGGTTACTTAGCTATTGAGGTTTAAAATTTTTTCTTAGATGTTATTGTTGAAAAGAGCTAAAAATGGCCTGAGTCATTTCCTTCTGCAGGCACACACTTCCTCTATGTGGGCTTCTAAGAGCACATTATGGTATTTATTTAAGATTGGTTTCTCACTTTTAAATTTTGTGATGGAATCTATCAGAGAGAATATTTTTCAATTGACTACCTTAGTATGTCTTGCAATCTTTTATTTTTCCTTATGTTCCCTTTTGTATGATACTTTTCTTCCTCATAGGCCTCTTTTACGGCTGCCACTTTCAAAAATTACTTTCCTCAGAATCATAATTATAAAATAAAATAAAATGTTCCTTTGCTGTTCAACCCAGCAATGGACATGAGGATCAGACCCACAGTAATGAGTGTGTGTTTGACCAAAGGGGGTAAATCTGCAGAGACAGGGTTAAAAACAAACAAACAAACAGGATTTGATACCAGGCAGTAAAGCAGATATTCATCTGAAATTCTCAGATCCGTGTTTTCTTGGGACAACATTAATCCACTTTCACTGAAGGTCTAAAATAAAACCATCTGTTCTGCTTTAAAAAATAAAATAAAATGTTCCTAGATCTCCCTGTTTTCTAACCGAAATCTTTTTATTCTCTTCAAATAATGGTAAATTTGGTGACATTTTGAAGTTTTGTTCTATAAGAGCCTCTCTTTCTCAAATGACAATTTTCTTACAGGAAAATATTGATCATTTTTTTTATCAATGATATATTATCAAGTGAATATGTATGAAATTGTTGCAGATTGTACAGTATTCTCATGGTACCAAGTGCTCTTGATACAGAGATACGTAAGACAGTGTTCCTACTTACTTGGTATGACATCTGTTTGAGGACATTCGGTACATAACATGACCCCCCCCCTCAACATAAGTAAAAAAATCAATAAAAGCCTCAGGTAATGTTGGTTGAATGTGGAATTGGGCACTGTTTCTGGAGGAGCCGAAACACAAAGACTTGAAGGACAAAATGGATAAGAACAAGGATAAGAAGAATATTCTAGGCCAGTGAAGCTATGCCAGAAAGGGTTGAAGATAGAGACGCAAGTGACATGCCTCTGCGGGACTGAACAGAGCACAGGTCCAATGGAGGGCATTTGGAATAAAGGAGACTAAAATAGGTGGCAATCCCATTCTTTAATACCCTTTTTGAGAGATTGTGTATTCTAGATAAGTTAATTGACTGATTAGTGAGTCAGCAAGGTAGGAGCTAGATCAAAGAGATGGAAAAAAATCAAGTCAATGGAGGTGAGGCAAGAAAGGAGAAATAGAGCTCATGAACTTGAAGATGTCTGGGGAAATAACTGAGGGGCTTTCACTTATGCTGTGTGTGATGTACCTGAAAACTTGATCTTAATTAGTAAGTGTTGCTTTACTCTCTTTTGCTCTGACAGAAGAGAACATTGAAACAGTTTGTGCTGCTTGCACAGAACTTCATCATGCTTTAGAAGAAGGAAACATGCTTGGAAATAAATTTAAGAGAAGAAGTATTCTCCTGAAGACTCTGTATAAACTAGTTGATGTTGGTTCAGACTTGCTCAGCCTTAAACTTGCAAAAATTATCCTTGCAGTAAGTTGTTCTTTCTTCTGGTCTACTAGACTGTAGCACATGCAAACTTTATGAAATGATTTTTATTTGGTAAATATTACAAAGAATATTAGAAATGATGTGTATTTGTTTAGAGTCTTAAAAAATAAAAGTGATAAACTGGCATCCCAGAATTTGACTAGGAAGTATTATCTAAGGAACTAAGGCTGAGTACATAGAAAATGTTCAAACGAAGATCTCTTATATTTGGAATATGACTATATATATATATTTTTTTAAAAAAAGAAAGAAATCAAAAGGAAAATCGAGAAAGAAAAGAAAAAAGCAACAATAGGCAAATATATTCAAAACAGTTGCTCAAGTAACGACTGGAGATCAGCATCAAGCCATGTAGGCTGTGGCCTCTGTCCTGTGGTTTCGACTGGCTGCTCGATTCTGTCATATGATTAGGAAATAAAGTAATTTGGGTCACAGACATAATGGCCAGGTGCTTTATGAACCGTGTGAAAGAGGAAAACAGCTGCGTGTGGTCACAGGAAGGTCCTTCAGTGGTCATCGAAGGCTCCTGTAAAGTGTTAGAAGAAAAGGCCAGACACCAAATAAAAGTCTGTAGAAGTCTGTCTAGAACAAAATGCTATCATTGTTTGAGGGGAGTGCTTTGTTGTCACAGCCATAAACAGTTGGAACCAAAAGATAAGCCACAATTATTATAGAATGTTCTAAGAGAGCCGCAAAAACAAATGAATGAAGCTTTGTTAACCTGGTTTCATAAAAGTAAAAGCTTTCTGTTAATGCTGAGTTATTCACATAATGTGAAATTATGAAGGACCCAGGCTGCCAGTGCCCAAGAATTCGCCTTTCCTTTTTCATCTGGTTCCTAGATATCTTGTTCTACACCAGGTCAAAAAAAGAAAAGAAATAGGCATTAATACTTTGGAGAAAATTGATCTTGGTTATTAATGAGTCATTCAAATTGATTACATACAGGGCACAATTTAACTCTCTAAGGGCAAAAGGCTAAATGATCTGACAGGCAGAGAACACGTTCTGAACTGGGCATATGATTAGGTAAGGTCCTCCTGGTGACAGTGGCCACCTTGCTGGTTGAAGGCAAGACTCTGTATTTCAAACTCCAGAGTTGGGTGGCTTTTGCCTCCATTTAACTACAGAATTACCAGGTGAGAAGGGACCTGTGAAACCATCCAGTCCAACTTCCATCCAGCCCATCTACTTTCTGAACCTTTATGACATTACAGTCAAGATCCTGTTCTGATTAGACTTAGTGATGGAGTTCTACGTAAATTTTTAAAGGACCACATCATAAGAAATGTCAAAAGATAAATCAGCAAAGACTAAAGATACATGAAACATGAAGTTTTCACTGCTTCTTTTCTTCCTGCCAATATTTATTCCCTCTACTAGTTTAGTATTATAATTCAGACATTTAAAATTATTTATAGTTAAAAACACTGAGCAAGCATAATGTTAGTTCTGTTTTCTTGCATTCTTTGGTTCAATGGAGATTTGCCAGACAGCCACTTTAATTTTAACCTTTATATCAAAACAGCTTACAAAAATATGTCAGTCTATATTAAGATTGCTTTAAAGTATACAAATATATACACAGTATGAATGCAGCTCTATTCTGAGGGTAGAATCTAGCACCTTAGGCAAACAAAAAAGAAATACCAGTGTGTCAACTGTGATTACATATAGTGGTAGTATGATGATTTTAAACTTCTCTTACTTTTGTTTAGTTTGCCAACTTTTGCTTTAAATAGAATAAAATTACTATTTTTAACTTAAAAAGAAAATTATCCTACCACTAGAACCTATATTGTCAGGAATTCTTCCTAAAACTTGGAGCATTTGAATAAAATAGCCTTCCCCACTCCTGTGGGCACTGTAGCAGGGGAAATAGCAGAAGCATCAAGTGCAAAGCACAGCAAGTACTGTGGGGAGAAAACACCCCAAAGCACAGGGAGTAAGGGGCATGGAAAGTGGTGATTGTTATGGGGCAGTCTATAATTCTTGCATATAATGACATATTTTATTACCTTTTCATGTCTTAAAGTCATAATTTTACAGTTATCAATAGAGAAGTTGTAAGAATTTGCTTTGCATCTAAATTGACCTAAGCTATATACTAGGCCTGGAAATTATGTGTATCTTTCTTTCCTTTCCTTTCTTTCTTT